CAGGGGATACACTGTTATAATTTTAAACTGTTTTAATAGGGTTGTTGATTTTAATTTATTTCATTGTGATTTGTATTGGAATTTGTCATTTTGTAAGCCGCCTTGAGTCCCTAGGGAGAAAGGCGGCATATAAATCGCAATAATAAATAAATAAATAAATAAATATACCACATTTTATACTGATTCTCTTTATAAAGCGCTGATTTTGTCATGCTATAATTATTTCCCCACACTTTTCCCCAGTCCTCCAATTGTATGTTATGTCCACTCTGGTTGATGGTTTAGGTCCACTCTGGTTTCTCTTCAGAGCGTATAAATCTTTCACCTTTCCCCCACTTTTTTGAAGATGGGAACCACATCATCTCTTTTTCAGTCCTCTGGTAATTCCCTGGTGCTCCAGAATTTTTGGAAGATGTGGTACACTGGTTCTGAGATGACATGTGCCAGCTCCTTCAGAACTCTGGGATGTAATTTATCAAGTCCCGGTGATTTGTATTCACCAAGATCAGACAGGTGTTCTTTTACTAATTTTTTTGCTTATTTTTACTTTTATTTCTAATCTGTCTTTTACAGTTATGTTTTTGGTAGGTTGGACTATTGTTTCTTTTTGCATGAAGACCAATGCAAAGAATGAGTTAAATAGCTCTGCTTTTTCTCTGCTGCTTGTTACTTCTTTGCCGTCTTCTCTCTTTAGTGGACTGACTGTTTCCTTGATTTTTTTCTTGTTATTTATATGTTGGAAGAAACTTTTTTTTTATTATCTTTGACTTTTCTTACAAGTCTTTGTTCATTCTGTGCCTTTGCTTTCCTGACTTCATCTTTGCAGATTCAGGCTATCTCATTTATTTATTTATTATTTATTTATTAATTAAATTTCTATACCGCCCTTCTCCAAATAGGACTCAGGGCGGTGCACAGCCTAAGTAAAAACAGAGCATACAAAATTTAAAAAACAGTATTAAAATAATTAAATATTTTGGCCGTAAATTAAAACAACCCAATTTAAAATCAATTTAAAATTTAGCTCAAGCCAGCCCAGCTAGTTGAAATAAATAGGTTTTCAGGGCCCGACGAAAATTCCGGAGGTCTGTTATTATACGTAGCTCTGGGGGAAGGTTGTTCCAGAGGGTGGGCGCCGTCACAGAGAAGGCTCTCCCCCTGGGGGTCGCCAGCCGACATTGTCTGGCGGACGGCACCCTGAGGAGGCCCACTCTGTGCGAGCGTACTGGCCGGTGGGAGGCTATTGGTGGCAGAAGGCGGTCTCATAAGTACCCCGGCCCTAAGCCATGGAGCGCTTTAAAGGTGGTCACCAACACCTTGAAGTGCACCCGGAAGACCACCGGGAGCCAGTGCAGCTCGCGCAGGAGAGGTGTCACATGGGAGCGCCTCGTTGCCCCCATAATCCCCGGCGCGGCCGCGTTCTGGACCAGCTGGAGCCTCCAGGTGCACCCCAGGGGGAGCCCCATGTAGAGAGCGTTGCAGTGTCCAGGCAGGAAGTGACTAGTGCCTGAGTGACTGTGCGTAGAGAGTCCCGATCTAGAAAGGGGCGTAACTGGCGTATCAGGCGAACCTGATAAAAAGCCCCCCTGGCCACGGCCGTCAAATGATCTCATGATATTCTGCCTTAGTTATATGTCCCTCTTTCCATTTTTTGTACTTATTCTTTTTGTCTTTCAGTTTATGGGAGAGATCTTTGTGCAACCATGCTGGTGTCTTCTTGGATTTCTTGTTTTTCTTTTTAAGTGGTATTGTGTTGGACTGGGCTTTTATGATCATATTTTTCAGAGTTTCCCACATTTCTTGAGTTGTTTTCCCCTTTAGGATTTTCATCCATGATTTTTTTTCTCAGGCTCTCTCCGAGTTTGTTAAAATCAGCTCTTTAAAGTTTAAGACACTGCTTGGATTATATTCCATTGCTTGTGTTTGCATTATATGAAAAACTTTGAAAAACTCTAAGGTTTTAAGGTTTCATGGGACATAAATAAAGAAGCAGATGTGATTATGGGGCTAGGGAGTCATCATAGTAAGCTTTAAGATGTCATTTACAATAAATGTATTGTAGGAAGTAGGATACAGGAGAGAGAGGGAAGTCTCCGAATATGCCAAAAAATACAGATTTTACTATGAACTCTCTGGGCATGTTCCTTGTCCAAGATGCTCTAAAAAGGAAAAGAAGAAAATGGATTTGTTCCCTGGACTGTGTGCAGTTTATCTTAAGCAGTTGAATGTCAAGCCAGTTTTATCCCATCCTTTGTGCAGAGATTCATGTAGCTTTCCTGGTACCCCATCAATTTTATTTATTTCTTCAATCCCTACTCAATCAAAGGATTCTGAGTGGCTTATAATTCTAAAGTTATAGAACCATTAAAACAAAAAACCATCCAGAAAATAAATACAAGCAGCAGTCAAGATAAACAACTAACGGTAAAGCCAAGGAATGGGGCCCTTCACCCATTCTGAGCTCCAGGCCTAGGAACCTAACCAGGTTTTTAATGCCTTGTGAAAAGCCAACAAGGTTGGGGCCATTCTAATCTCTGAGGGAGAATAGCCCACAAGGCAGGGGCTACATCAGAGAAGGCCTGTCTTTTCGTTCATATCAGTCAACACTCTTTGGCTGACGGGATCTGCAGCAGGCCCAATCCGGCTTCACCAGACCAGTGGTGGGTTGCTACCGGTTTGCACCAGTTCAGGGGAACCAGTAGCGATAATCTGTCATCGCTCGCTGAACCTCTGGCAACAGCTGGCTGGACACCCCCCCAAACCAGTCGCTGCTCACTCGCCCCGCCCGCTCGCTCCGCCCAGTCACTCCTCACTTCCCAGGAAGCAGAGCACACTTTGTGGCACTCGCGCATGCGCAGTCTGCTCTGCAGCTTACCTAAACTGCCTTCCCATGCGGTGCCTGCCCCACGCCCCAACTGCCCAGCCTCCTCCTGCCTACAGGTAAGCATGTCAGTCACGCTTGCCCCCCCATCCCCGTTGTTTGCCGTGGCTCCCCCTACCATCCCCACCATGCTTGCATGGCTTGCTAAACTGGCATGGCCCGGCCTGGTTCCATTCCAGGCTGCGCTGCCTGCAGCCTAGCTTGCCGCAGCCCTTCTAACATCCCTGCAGGGCTCACAACCTTACCTTCTTCTTTCCACGGCTGGTGGTAGAAATGAAGGCAATCCAGCACCCACAAGGAACCGCTCCTCATCCCCAGCCATGCATTTTCAAGGCCAGGCTATTGCAATAGCTTTTCATTCCAAGCAGCCCGGTCTTGAAAACGCATGGCTGTGGCCAAAGAGCTGTTCCTTGTGGGCGCTGAAAGTACTGGTCTTCAACCTGGCTGAAAGTACTGGTCTTCAAGCCTGGCTTTCTGGATGGGTCCCCAAAGCGCAGTGCTGTGAAAAACTCTCTCTCTGTCCCAGCAAGAGAGCAGGGGAGAGAAAACAGAGCACTGGAGGACACGCGGAGGGCTCCATGGGGTCTCCAAGTCAGTGGCTGCTGCTTCTGTCCCCTGCTGCTTCTTGCCTGGGAGAGAAAGTCTTTCAGAGCACTGCGCTTTAGTCGAACTCCTGTAAGTCCTATCAGGAAAGCCTGCGCTTTCCTAGGGCCCCGAGGGCTGCCCCCTTCCATGCCTGCCACCGCCGGGGAAGGTTGGGAAGGTGATGCTTGTGGCAGATGGGAGGTGGCGGCTGTGGCTGACTTGGGATGGAAAGTTGGAGCCCGGCGAAGCAACTGCCTTTTCCTCTCTGACTTCTGTTAGCAGAGAGAAGGAAGAGGCAGCGGCAGCGGCAATGGAAGGGGCCACCTCCAGCGCATTAAAGAAAGGTAAAAGGGAAACTTTATATCGTCTGGATTATTTTGGTGCCTCGAACAGAGAGGAAAATTGCCAGAAAGGAAAAGGAGTTTGCTAGGACAAGGCTGCCATGCAGAGGAAGGCAGAGATAGTCCTTGACTTATGACCACAATTGAGCCCAAAATTTTGGTTGCTAAGCAAGAGCTTTGTTAAGTGAGTTTCACCACATTTTACTCAATCCGTGATCTCTCCTGGCTCTAACAGTCATGTGCAAAGTAGGGAAGAACATCTGAAGGTGTGTGTAATTTCTAAATGTAAAGAAATTATAGTTAAATGTGTGGCAACTCTGGGTGTGTTTTTCCAAATGGAGTAAGTGAGGTTGAATGTGTATAGTTTTAGAAGAGCTCTGTGTGTGTGTGTGTGTGTGTGTGTGTGTGTGTGTGTACATACACATACAGTATATATAGTAGATAATGTATCTTTTTGTGTGCCTATACACACTCTATACTATGTAATATGTATGGACACATATGGCATATATACATAGGATTAAATAATGTATTTTGGATGGTCAGTAGTAGTAAATAGACAGTGAAATTGTATCTCGTTGAAGCCTTTGAGGCGAGGAGAGGCCAGGCACCCTAACCCTAACTCTTGACGTGACCACCAAGGTCACATGACCACCAAGCCATGACCACCCAGTCACATGACCACCAAACCACACCCACCAAACAACCCACGCCCACAGAACCAGTAGTAAAAAAATTTGGAACCCACCCCTGCACCAGACCCAACATTATTTTCTTCTTCAGTCTTTTAACTGAACCAGATGAATTGCAAATATAGTCTGTGGCATCACCTTTATTTACATGAATGCCTCCAGATCCACCAAAGACACTGACGAAGGGAGGGAGGGAGGGAGGGAGGAAGGATTAGAGGGAAAAACTCTTCAGCAATTTTGCTTAAGGAGAATATTGTACCTCAGTTTCTTTTCATCAGATTAAGGTGGACATTTTAGTTGACTGAAGAGGAGACATATTGGGTTTTAAAGTTAAAAAACAAAAAGCAAGAAAACCTTACCAGCTTAGAAATGTATGTAGTATTTTATTTAGGGATTTCAACTCAAGGAGAACCATCAGTATCCAGATTTCTCTGTACCTTCCTTTGGTGTAGCAGATGAGTGCTGATGAATCTTGTTTCTCTTCTTTTTCTTTTCATGCAGCCCGTGTCAAGTCAATCAGGCAGAGATTTTTGCCAGCTTACTGTAAAGCTAAAAAGGCAATAATTGGAATTGTCATTTCTCTCCTCATCTTTGGCTCTGCTCTCTTTTTCCTGGGTAAGGAATATGGATCCTAATACTTTTCCTTTGAAAACTTTCTTCTAACAAGACTTCATGAAGCTGAATGATCTCTGCAGTCAGATCAGAAACATAGAGTTGGCCTTGCCCTGGTTTTTAAGTACTGTAATCCAATTCATCCACTACAGGAAATTTCAGTTCCTATGTTTGGAAGAAATCATGGTGTTTGAGAAGTAAAATAAATAAACATGCATTTCTTTATCTACTGATTTCCTGCCAGAAGCAGTAAAAGTGAAGTAGGTGGACCAAATGTGAGACAGGTTGACCAAATTAATGGAAAATCCCACACAAAAAAAGGATTCATGGCTGAATAAGTGGATTTGCATCTGGTTTCTTGGATTTAAATCCAGCATCCAAATCACTGCTCAGGTCTATTGTCTCTTATCAATCTGAAGATAACAGGATGGAGGCCATTACAACTGCTAGGATATGGGGCTTTTTTAACCAGACTGGATTTTCTTAGAACCCACTAACAGGTTCTAGTTCAGCAGGAGGTCACACCCTACCCATAAGAACGGGACTGGATTAGTTAGTGTCTATTCTTTCCATCTTTCTCTGTTCTAGGAACATTAGTGCCATTAAGGCACCAACAGGATGTCATTAAATGTCCACCTGACTGGATTGGACATCAGGGACACTGCTACAAATTTTCAGTAGAGGAAAAGAACTGGAAGGAGAGCCAGAAGTTCTGTATTTTACATAATGCTTTCCTGGCCAAAATTACAAAGGAGGAAATGGTGAGCAATGTAACTGGTTTTGGCCAACATAAATCAGTTCCTAGAAATAATGTTACTTCATTGATGGTGCATGAAGAAGATAAAGGTTTTTCTCCTGATATTGCTAAAACAAATCTCCATAGATGCATTTCTGAACAAAAGCTTCAAGATCCTTTGAATCTTCTCCAGGTTCCAAAATCTGCCAGTTTCACAAAGCAAGATCTGTTGACATAGAATCAGGAACCAAAAAGTAAAACTGTAGACAATGCCAAAAACCATTCTAGGATAATCAGACTTTTACCTTCTACTAAAGGTTTAATATTTACTTTGAAAAAGCCTAAGGGCCTGCCATTTTCCCCCTCGCTAAAGGAACTGCTAGTTATGTTCATTAGGGTTAGATTACTCTTTTAAAGATAGTTTTGGTCCTTTCAGAATGGTCCTGTCCTATGTGTAAATTCAGAAATTCAGCTGGAAATTTAACAATGCAACATTCTAACATGCACCATTTTTTTAAGGCTATTGTGAGGATGTTCACAAGAGACCATGTCTTTTGGATCGGCCTCAAGAGAGAACCCGATCAGCCCTGGAAGTGGCTAGATGGAGAAAATTCAACGTGAGTCTTCCCCTTTTCCTTTCAGTGCCAAGAGCTGAAAGTAAAATGCCTCCACTGAGGCTCCATGCAGTTCAGGACTGATCTTAAAAAGAGCCTCCCAGCTGCCAGTATTCAGGCGTTGCCCTCTAAAAAGGTTTGGCCCTACTGATGTATTTAAAAATGTATTACAAGGGACAGAGGTGGGTTTCAGCAGGTTCTCACCAGTTTTGGAGAATTGGTAGCGGAAATTTTGAGTAGTTCAGAGAACCGGTAGTAAAAATTCTGACTGGCCCCGCCCCCCATCTATTCTCTGCCTCCCGAGTCCCAGCTGATCAGGCAGAAATTGAGATTTTACAGTATCCTTCCCCTGCCACGCCCACCAAGCCATGCCATGCCCACCAAGCCACACCCACATAACCGGTAGTAAAAAAAATTGAAACCCACCACTGACGAGGGGTCCTCAAATTATAGCCATTCATTTACTGACTGTTCAGAGTTACAGTGGAAGTGAAAAAAATGACATAATTGATCCTTGCAGTTAAAACCATCACAGCATCCCCCTGATCACCTGATCAAAATTTGGGTGCCTGGCAATCAGCATGTATTTAATTATTTGGAAAAATTATGTGGCTATCCCTCATGGTGAGTCTGGGCAGTTTACAGAAATTAAACAATACTAAATCCTATAAATCTCTACCTCAAAGATAAAACCAACCAGGGGTCTCCACATCTGCTAGCAAAATAGTTACAATTTGCAAAATCCTGGAGTTATGTGATTGCCATTTGCAACCTTCCCAAGAAGCAAAGTCAACAAGGAAAGCTGGATACTCTTAAAATCATTTGATTCACGTAACAGCTTCAGTAATTCACTTAACAACCGTGGCAAAAAAAGGTTATAAAATTGAGCACTACTCGCTTAACAACTCCTTTGCTTAGCAATGGAAATTCGAGTCCAAATTGTGGTTGCAAGTCAAGGACTGCCTGTACAAGTAGCTTGGTGAGAATTCCACTTGGAATTGAATCCAGAAGGCTGAGCTGCTGGGATGTAGATTTACTATATAATCAACACTTCCAAATAGATGAATTGGGGAACAATCTGCAGAATCATCCTTGAGAAGGCAAGGCTCAGCTAGATGAACTTTAAACTCAGGACTAACTTGGTGCTGCTAGGTGGGAAATAACTCCCATTACCTAATTTCTGCCTCTGTTGCAGGTTGGAAGTCATGGGAAATGGAGGAGACTGTGCGTATTTGGATGATGATGATGTCACCGCCAGCTCAGGGAGATGCACCACTGAACACCACTACATCTGCAAAAAAAATTGATCCAAAGACTTTCTGTACGAGAATCCTATGTTCCCAGTGGTGGGATTCTGCCAGTTCTAGGGGGTTCAGACGAACTCTTTGTTAAATTGCTGGCTCACCCCGCCCCTTGCCCCGCCCCTCCGCACCACTATTTATTGCCAATAAATAGTGGTGGACGAGGGGCGGGCGAGCCAGCAATTTAACAAACGGTTCAGTGTTTTTTTGTAATTTTATTGGCCCGCAGAGCTTCAGCATAGGCTAATTAGCCCCTTGATTCTATCGGCCTCCCGACTCTCAGCTGATTTGCTCTCAGCTGTTTTGCTCAGGGCTCTGCTGCTTGCTTGCAAAGAGTGCAGATTTCCCCCCCCTAGCTATGCTGAAAAACAAAACTGAAAGTAAAAGCCTGCTTTACTGTTACTGCAACGTTGGAAAATTAGGCAGGCAGATTTCTTTTCTTTTTCCTCACCAAAAAAGGTAGGTGCAAACTACCTTTAGTGGAAAGGTACTTTTCCCTAAAGTGGTAGTTCATCTTTAGGGAAAAAGAGGAGAGTTCAAGATTTTAAAACACAAAAGAAAAAAAGCTGTATTTAAATAGGGAATTGTAATAATTGAGATACTATTAATTGTATATTGTGTTGAAAGCAGAAATGGTTAAATTGTGGTTTGGAGGAATATATGGGGGAAATTATTTGGTTTATTATTATTGGTAAATATAATTAATTGATTTGTAAGAAATTGGATTGCATGGAAATAATTGGAATATTCATGTTCATATTGATTAATATACAAAAAAGATAGTTATATTTTCATTTTCATTTTCATTTTATTAAATTTGTATACCACCCTACTCCCGAAGGACTCAGGGCGGTGAACAGCCACAAAATAAAACATATAAATACAAAATTTAAAATAGAGATAAAACAAATTAAATAAATTTGGCTGAACCATTTTAAAACCCCAATAATTTAAAACCAAATTTAAAATTCCCATTTAAAAGAGGAAAAGTTTAGGTCAGGCCATCTTGCTGGAATAGGAATGTCTTAAGCGTGCGACGGAAGGTACGCAGATTCGGAATCCTCCGTATCTCAGGGGGGAGCTCGTTCCAGATCGTCGGTGCCCCCACAGAGAAGGCTCTCCCCCTGGGGGCTGCCAGTCGACATTGTTTGGCCGACGGGACCCGGAGGAGCCCCTCTCTATGGGAGCGTACTGGTCGGTGGGAGGCTATTGGTGGTAGCAGGCGGTCCGGCAAATAACCAGGTCCTAAGCCATGGAGCGCTCTGAAGGTGATAACCAAAACCTTGAAGCACACTTGGAAGACCACCGGGAGCCAGTGCAGCTCGCGCAGGAGAGGCGTTACATGGGAGCGCCACGTCGCTCCCATCACCACCCGCGTGGCTACACTCTGCGCCAGTTGGAGCCTCCGAGTGCTCCTCAAGGGGAGCCCCATGTAGAGAGCGTTACAATAGTCCAGACGGGAGGTGACAAGGGCATGAGTGACCGTGCGTAACGAGTCCCGATCCAGAAAGGGACGCAACTGGCGGATCAGGTGGACCTGATGAAAAATCCTCCCGGTCATGGCTGTCAAGTGCTCTTCTAAAGACAGCCGTGAATCCAGGAGGACACCCAAGTTGCGAGCCCTCTCCGTGGGGGCCAATGCTTCACCCCCAATAGTCAGTGATGGCACCAGCTGACTATATCGGGACGTTGGAAACCACAGCCACTCGGTCTTGGATGGGTTGAGTCTGAGCCTGTTTCTCCCCATCCAGATCCGTACGGCCTCCAGGCACCGGGACATCACTTCAAGGGCATCGTTGGGGTGGTCTGGGGTGGAGATGTACAGCTGGGTGTTGTCAGCGTACTGATGGTACTCCACCCCGAAACCACGGATGATCTCGCCCAGCGGCTTCACATAAATGTTGAACAAAAGGGACGAGAGGACCGATCCTTGTGGCACCCCACATATAAGGGGCCTCGGGGTCGACCTCTGCCCCCCTGTCAACACAGACTGCGACCGGTCTGAGAGAAAGGAGGAGAACCACCGTAATATGGTGCCTCCCACCCCCAACTCTTCCAACCGGTGCAGCATGATACCATGGTCGATGGTATCAAAAGCCGCTGAGAGATCTAATAGGACCAGGACAGAGGAGCACCCCCTGTCCCGAGCCCTCCAGAGATCATCCATCATTATAGATTTGCTTATAGATCTATAAACAAATACAAGGTACCCAGGGGTGGGTTCTATTTTTTTTTTACTACCAGTTCTGTGGGCGTGGCTTATTTTGTGGGTGTGGTTTGATGGTCATGTGACAAACAATTCTTTAGGATTTAGCAGAGGTACTGGTTTACCAGGCTTAACTGCTTGCAGAGCTGTACCGGTCTACCCATTTGTTTTTGGATCATACCAGTCTACCTATTTGTTTTTGGAGCATACCGGTTTACCACCACACTGCCTTTTACCGCTGATCAGCTGTAGGGCGGCCCTTTGAAGCGCCGTGGCAAGAGTTTAAACAGTTTTTTGCTGCTCTGCCACCACCAAGAGCATTGGAAACCACTTTCAGGCAGCTTGGCCTCAATTGTCAATCTACCACCACCAAACGGTTAACAAGGAGCAGATCGGTTCTAGCCGATCAGTTGGGAGGCTTCTCAATTTAAAGCTAAGGTGTCTTGGGTTTGTTTTGTTTTTTCCTTCTTTGTCAAGTGAGCCCTGATTTTTTTCCTTCTAGTGGATCAGCTGGGACTCAGGAGGCAGCAAATAGATTGGGGGCAGGGCCAGGCAGAGGTGGTATTTACCGGTTCTCTGAATACTCAAAATTTCCACTACCGGTTCGCAAGAACCGGGGAGAACTGGTAACAACCCACCACTGAAGGTACCCCAATCGGATCACCCATATTGGTCCTAATAGCAGAAGCAGGCATGCAACAACTCGAATCCATAGTTCTGTCAATGGATTCAAATCTGCACAAGCACCAACAGATGGCGCCCTAACATTGACTAACAAAATAAACCCCCATTTTCCTGCCTCTTTTACACAATCTTATCACAGCCCTGCTGGGACACAGATTCTTCTCACAGTCGGCAGAAGCAGATGGCCCTGATACAGAGGCAGAAATGTTCATGTGGAATTCAAGCAAACTATTCAATTATATATTTTTGTATCCCTCACATTCTTAAAGATAGATTGTTAAATTTTAAATTGATTTTAAATTGGGTTGTTTTAATTTACGGCCAAAATATTTAATTATTTTAATACTGTTTTTAAACTTTGTATGCTCTGTTTTTTACTTTGGCTGTTCACCGCCCTGAGTCCTATTTGGAGAAGGGCGGTATAGAAATGGAAACAAATAAATAAATATTGTAATGGCATGGTAGAACTGTAGTGGTACGTGGATAATAATTTGAAACTTTTATGGTTTCAAATTACAGTCTTGCAATTGTTTCCAATTAACTTATTACTCCACCTTGAGCGATATTTAGAGGAAGGAAAATGTAAATATCAGTGGTAAATTTATTCACAAAAAGAAAATGCTTTAACTTTGAGATCTTTTTCATTCCTAGTATTGAGCTGCGCATGCTTTAAAATTCTTCCAGTGCTTGGTGTAAAATGCACGATGAGTTTCACCGGAACTCTGAACAATGACGCTTCTTCCTTAATAGGGCTAATTTTGCTTCTTGGAGAGATTTTCAGGAAAAGGTCTCAAGGCTATGTTACACTTGGCAAAATCCCTGCCAATTTCTATAGTTAAACAAACAGCAGCTGCTTTCTTACCCATTCCAAGTTGAACCGAAAGATTTCTGGCATTCTGAGCCTGCAGGAATTTTCCTTTAAATAAGCTTGTGCTAAGGAGTCAGGGAAGAAACAGTCCCACTGCTCCTGGGATGATAACCCCTGGCCCAATTTTCACTTCTGCATGCTTTTCCTGTTTTTTTCCCATTGTCTGCATCTTAGATAATTTTCCCTCCCCCCCCCAATGCTCAGAAACACCTGCTTTAATACCTGACCTGGTCCCTCTGAGCTGATTATAGCTCCTTCTCCAATGGGAGGAGAGGTTACTGGTGGAAGAGCCTGTGTGATAGAGAGTCTCCTACTCCCACTCTGCTCTCCTATGGCTCCCCCCTCCCAAAGGACACAAGACTGGAGTCAGGTCATCCTTGTCCCTTTGGAAATAGAAGGGTCCCACAGATGAAGGAGTGAAGAGCGTAGTCCTTTGAACCATCATCAGAGTGACATGTGGCTCACAGGACACAAAAGTCACTGATTTCACTCAGTTTGCACTCAGACTGTCCCCAGCAGCCTTGAGTCAAAACTGTTAGCCGGAGTCTGAACTGCTTTCTGTTTTCTCGAGGGGCCCAATAGGTCATATTGGAACGAGGAAGGCAACTTTCAGCTGTTTATTTTGGCAAAACTAGAAAGCCACACACTTGGGACAGAGATCCAAATCAAGTGCCCTGGGTAATCGTTAGTTCAGAACTTTATACAAAATGCTTGTTGTCTACAACATGTCAATCTATGCGATTTCTTTCACAATAAACACAAATGTTTAAATTTGGTTGGTTACATTTGTCCTTCTTGGTTTAAGATGACATTCGCTGTATTTAGCACAAGACAGTGAAACATTCATAATGCTATCATTGCCAGGGGTTTTCTGTTGCATGTCTGTACAGGTAGTCCTCAAGTTACAACCACAATGGAGCCCAAAATTACTGTTGCTAAGTGAAACATTTGTTACGTGAGTAACAAATTACCCCATTTTACAACTTTTCCTGTTGCAGTTGTTACGTGAATGATTGCATTTATTAAATTAGTAACAGGGTTGTTAAGTGAATCTGGATTCCCCATTGATTTTGCTTGTCTGGTGGTCACAAAAGGGGATCCCATGTCCCTGGGACACTGCAACCGTCATAAATATGGACCACTTGCCAAGCATCTGAATTTGGATCATGCGACCACGGGGATGCTGCAATGGTCGTAAATCTGAAAAGTGGTCATAATTCACTTTTTCCAGCACTGTTGTAACTTTGAATGGCCACTAAATGAACTGTTGTAAGTTGAGGACTACCTGTAGTTTGTGAGTTTTGCAAGGAAGCCAGCAATGAGAGGGGCAGCTTAGACAGTCTTCATCATTTTATATTGTTACGCTGTCTTCAAGGCATCAACAGGAGCCCCATTGCAACCACCTCTCTGCTCCCTTGATCAATGTTCAGTGTATTGTCCATTTTCCTGTGCACAGTATGCCCACTCTTCTTTGACCACTCCCTGCTGGATGGATGTGGTAACCTGGTTCCACAACAGGACCCTGAGTCCCAACTGGCTGCACTCTTCCCCTATAGCCATAGTCCTCAACTTACAACCACAATTGAGTCCAAGTCTGACAGTTGTTAATTGAATTTTGCCCCGTTATGACCTTTCTTGCTTTGGCTGTTAAGTGAATCGCTGCAGTTCAGGGGTGAAATGCTCCCAGTTCGGACCGGATCGCTTAATCTGGTAGTGATGGAGGCGGATAGTTCGGAGAACCGGTAGCAAAAATCCCTGCCCCCCCCCCTCCATTGCCCAGCTGAGCCGGACAATAATCAGAGGCTTTTTTTTTTAATTTTTAAAAGCATTTTTTCTACAACCTCTTCCGATGAAAAAATGCTTTTAAAAGTTTTTAAAAAAAGCCTCTGATGATCGCGTGGCTCAGCTGGGATCATTAGAGGCTTTTAAAAGCATTTTTTCTACAACCTCTTCAGCCGAAGAGGTTATAGAAAAAATGTTTTTAAAAAGAAAAAAAGCCTCTGCTGATCAGGCACGTCAGCTGGGATCATCAGAGGCTTTAAAAGCATTTTTTTAACAATTTCTTCAGCCGAAGAGGTTGTAGAAAAAATGGTTTTAAAAGTAAAAAAAATGTTGGCCACCCCCACTCAGTCATATTACCCCCCCACCAAGCCACGCCCACAGAATCGGTAGTAACAAATTTCACATTTCACCACTGCTGCAGTTGCTAAATTGGTAACACGGTTGTTAAGTGAATCTGGCTTCCCTACTGACTTCCTTGTCAGACGGTGGCAAAAGAGGATCATGTGACCATGCAACCATTTCTAAATATTAATCACTTGCCAACCATTCAAGTTTTGATCATGCGGCCACGGGGATGCTGCTGCAATGGTCGTAAGTGTGAAAAGCGGTCATAACTCACTTTTTTCAGTACCGTTGTGACTTTGAAAGGTCGTTAAATGAATGGTTGGAAGTCAAGGACATTCCCTTATCCACCTTATGTCAAAAGGCTTGGATTCAATTGAGAATCCGAACTGATCTTCAAAAGCTAAGAAGGATGACAGCCTGTCAGAGAATCTGAAGGCTAGGTTAATTGAACACGTGATGTGACACCCAGAAAAATATGCCATCCTTCACTTAATCCTCCAGGGAAAGATTGAAGGCAAACGAGGTCCAGGCAGAAGAAGAACACCATGGCTTCAAAATCTAAGAGACTGGTTTGGACAAAACTCAGCAGCACTTTTTCATGCGGCTGTTGACAGAAATAGGATTGCCAATACGATTGCCAACGTCTGATGACAGATATGGTGGAAGAAGAAGAAGAAGAGGAGGAAGAGGAAGAGGAAGAGGAAGAAGAAGAAGCTTTCCATATAACAACACCCACAAATACCAATCCTCACACATCACAGGAGAAACCCAACTCCTGAATAACTGACTAGAAATTAGGTTCATATCCCTTTCCCTAGTCATAAATTCAGCAGGAAAAAATCTAAAGCGGACACCCAGGCAGGAACTTATAATTTCAATGAGTCATTTCTTTACTGCGTCAGCCCTCGCCAGACCTCTTTATCCCAACAACTGAGCTTTGGTGAACAGTATCCAAAATAACTCGAGCCAAAAGCGTATTTACGGTATATCCAAAAGCTTCTGTCTGGCAAACCCGTATGGAGAGAGTAAAACAAGAAGTCTTCAGCGACTCTTTAGCCAAGGGCATTTATTTCTTTGGTAGCTCAGAAATGTAATCCTAAATGGGGATCAATTGTGGAATATTTTTCCACGACAGCTCCGTGTGACTCAGGATGCTGTTTCCCTGTAACCTACGCATTCCTTGGGGATGAAGACTTAACTTAACGTGTGTTCCCCTTCTCCCAGCCAAATTAGCAAACACCAAAAGACCAAATTACAGGACCTAAATGAACACCTCTACACTTCCCTTGTACTGACTTAGTGACTTAAACCATGACTCATTGACCATCAATCTCATATTTCCAGCCAATCAGCAAGAGAGGGAGGGGAGGGGGAGAGGGCTTAATTCGTAGTAAAATGAGGAAGTGTGTCTTCTTTGCGGATTGAGCGAGCTGTAGATCGAGCCGATACTACCGGTATGTCTTCTCCTTCAAGGCATTCGGGCAGGACCAGGGAAAGCAACCCCGACTCTTCCTGCGTTTTTATTGCAGAGAGTTCCAGTGCAACGGAGATGCCACCTGCTTCATTACCACGGAAAAGTAAGAACACTTTGTGGTTATGTGCTTTTAATTGCTTATGCGCTGTTATCTCCCATTGTTAAGAAGAGAGAGCCATTTCGGTGTAGTGTTATAACCTGAGACATGAAGCCAGCAGTGTCACTGCCTCTCTCTCGTCCTTAGTGCATCGTTTCAGAGGCAAGAGGAGGTATTATATCCCAGAATTTGGGCAGGGCTGGAGGATGGGGGCCACCTCCCCATTGGGTTGAGACAAAGTCCTCTTCCTGGACCTTGCCAGTTGAACTTTGTTTCATGAGGCAGGGAACCAGGCATTCACAGTCTGCTGCAGGGGACCGCTATAAAATAAACATAATGAAATAATGGAGCAAATGTGACCACAGAGGGAGGAAGTAATTCTAGTAAGTTTTAACAAGTCATTTACATCAAAAGTGCATTAAGTTTCAGAAGGAGAGAGAGAGAGAGGTAAGTCAGCTCTGAAAGTTCAGCAATATAGATTTTAGTATGGATGTGTCTGGGCATGTTCTTTGTTTAGGATGCTGCAAAAAGGAGAAGAAAGAAAATGGATTTGTTCCAGGGACCATAGGTAGGTAGGTAGTGTAGGTAGATAGATAGATAGCAGGGGTGAAATCCACAGGTTCTGGAGAACCGGGAGTGGAAATTTTGAGTAGTTCGGAGAACCGGCAAATACCACCTCTGGCTGGCCCCAGAGTGGGGTGGGACTGGAGATTTTGCAATATGCTTCCCCCAGGAATGGGGTGGGAATGGGGATTTTGCAGTATCCTTCCCCTGGAGTGGGGTGGGAATGGAGATTTTGCAGTGTCCTTCCCCTGGAGTGGGGTGGGAATGGAGATTTTGCAATATCCTTCCCCTGGAGTGGGGTGGGAATGGAGATTTTGCAGTGTCCTTCCCCTGGAGTGGGGTGAGAATGGAGATTTTGCAGGATCCTTCCCCTGCCACACCCACCAAGCCACGCCCACAGAACTGGTATTAAAATATTTGGATTTCACCACTGATAGATAGGAAGGAAGGAAGGAAGGAAAACAGAGGGTGGGAGGAAGGGAGAAAGGAAGGAAGGACGGACAGACAGTAGCGGGGTCCCTACACCTAGAATTTCGTCAGGCCCATTTTCCCATAAAGAGATGAAGTCAAGATGGTGTGGAAGAATAGATTGAGGAGGTGGAGGGAGGAGTCTCAAACTGCTGTTTGGTGATTGGCCATATCATCATGGCAGATTTTAATAAAGGCATTTTGCAGCCATTTTGAGAGTGTGCCCACAACATGGTCTATAAATTCAAGAGGTATCCACCATGAAGGTGAATATTGGTGTCCCAGGATAATGTTGCAGGGTCCAATCTAGGTCAGTCACTGGGACCAGAGGTTTGTCTTCTGAGTTTTTGGACTTGTGCTGGAGCCCATCCTCAGGGAAGTTCCCTCTGACAAGGGAGAAGTTCCCTGAGGATGAGCTTCAGCACGAGTCCGAAGGCTCGGAAAACAAATCCCAGTGACTGACCCAGATTGGATCCTGCAAGAGATATCCACCCCTCAATGAAAGTTATCAGCCCATGTGGGAATCCCTCCAGAGACAGAGGAGAAGATAATGGGTTCCAGTTCTTTAGGAAAAGATTAAGGGCAAGAACTCCTAAGAAGTTTTATTTTCTTAATGAAAACATTGGACTGTACCTCAGTTTATATTCATCAGACTTAGAATGACATTTTGGTTGATTCAAGAGGAGAACTATTAGGTTTGGAAATTTTTTTTAAAAAAAAGCAAAACAGAAAACAAGAAAACCTTAGCAATTTAGAAATGTGTATAATATTTTATTTGGGGATTTCAGCTCAAGGAAAACCAAGAGTTTCCAGATTTCCTTTCTAGCTTCCTTTGGTGTAACAGATGAATGCCGGTATATCTTGCTTCTCTTCTTTTTGTCATGCAGCACGTTTCAAGACGTTCAAATCAGCTGTTAATAAACACAGAAATGTATTGATTGTATCTGTCATTTCCCACGTCATCATCATCATCATTTTTATCCTCACCGTCTGCCTGGTTTACTATCAGGGTAAGGAATCCAGATCTTAATATTGCTCCCATGAAAAGTTTCTTGGCGTGACTTCATGCAGCCGAATGACGTCTGCAAATAGGTCAGAAATATAGAGTTGGCTTTGCCTCAGATTTTAGTCTACTTTCTCCAGTTCAGAAAACTTCAGTTCCTTTGTTTGGGAAAAAAATCTCTGTGTTCGCTTGAAAGTATCCCTGAGACTTGTTTTCTGAGATTTATCCAGAATAAGATTGCTAGAGGGGGAAAAAATGGCCATTTGGAACTTGTGAGAAGAGCCGAAATAATGATTTAAGGCAGGGGTCTCCAACCTTGGCAACTTTAAGACTTGTGGACTTCAACTCTGAGGAACTCTGGGAGTTGAAGTCCACAAGTCTTAAAGTTGCCAAGGTTGGAGACCCGAGGTTTAAGGGAGTAATTAGGCAAACAGTTTGGGTCTTTTTTGCCAGCTGACTGTAGTAGTAGAGGCAAAAATCAACAAGTAAAATAAACAAACATGCATTTCCTTCCAATAGTGGCAAATATCTGTAGCTCAGGTGTAAGATGAGGGTGAAAGTTCGTTCTCAGAGCTTGTGGGTTGGTTTCCGAATGTTTCATTACCAGGATAGGTAACATCTTCAGTGGCGTTTAGGGAACGTCAGCGTCAGCGTTCTTCTGTTTATAAGGGCTTCAGGTGTGGGTGTGTCAAGTGAGGGTCTTGCGATGAGTCTTGGTGTGAGTCTTCAGTGAGTCTTGTGATGGGACTTCCGCTGAGATTACATCAGGTCAGAGTCATTGGGTGGTGAACTGCTGGTGGAGGGGCTTGCGTGGATTGGTTGAGGATCCGTTTGCTGGATTTGGGATCACGGCGCTTGACGGCCAGCTGGTGTTCGTGGATCCTGGTTTTCATCACGTTGATCTGTCCCCGTCTACACACACACACAAACACAGCCAGCCGAGAGTTAAGAAAGTACTTGGCACGCACACAGGTCATTATCTCAAACTTGGCAACAATATAAGCACCGTCTGCCAAGAGCTTTACTGCAACAGATAACATAAAATTACATACGCATTGCAAATAGTCCAGCAAAACAATATCCCTTCGGCAGCTTCAGACGTTGTTCAAGTGACTAGCCAGAGTTAGTTTTTGTTCGTCACAGAGTTTTACCAGCCACCACCCTCTCTTATATAGTCTCTGGGGTGTGGTCCAGTGACTCAGTTCTAATCCCTAGCACGCCTCCTTAACTGCTGCAACCGTTTATCACGCCTTCGTTGCTGTGCATCCAGGAACGACGGCTCTCCTTCCTCGCTCTCATCCGAGACACCTGGCTCCTGGCTAATCTCCTCTCCCTCGGCCGGCACCTGAGACAGTGCCAGAGGGGAGGGGCCTGGAGAGGGAGGCCTGGCTGACTCCTCTCCCTCATGTTCGGAGCCTTCTTCCTCCGATGAGATAGGCTCAGAGGGCGGGGCCACAACACACGTCAGTTAAAAAACAGGATCCACAAACACAGGCTGGCAGTCTAATGCCACGATCCCAAATCTTTAATCTCTACTCACACTGGCACCAAACAGCACCAGTTTGATTGGAGCAACACAAAAATCATTGGCCAGGCTACCACCCACCATGCTCGTGAGTTTATCAAAGCAGAGGTGGGTTTCAGCAGGTTCTGACCAGTTCTGGAGAACCGGTAGCAGAAATTTTGAATAGTTTGGAGAACCGGTAGTATAAATTCTGACTGGCCCTGCCCCCATCTATTCTCTGCCTCCCAAGTCCCAGCTGATTGGGAAGAAATGGGGATTTTACAGTATCCTTCCCCTGGAGTGGGGTGGGAATGGAGATTTTATAGTATCCTTCCTCTGCCACGCCCACCAAGCCATGCCATGCCCACAGAACCAGTAGTAAAAAAATTTGAATCCCACCACTGATTCAAATCCAACATGCAATTTGCTACTCCGGTCCACAATCTCTCTTAATCTGAGGATTAGAGGCAGTGGTGGGATTCAAATAATTTAACAACCGGTTAATGATTTCTTCCAAGAACCAGTTTGCCAAACTGCTCAGAAAGTTAACAACCGGTTCTCCCAAAGTGGTGCAAACGGGCTGAATTCCACCACTGATTATAGGACGGAGGTCATTACAACTGCTAGAGCAGGGGTTCCCAATCCTTGGGCTGTGATCACTATCGGGCCATGGCCAGTTCAAAACCAGGCTGCAGAAGCAGCGGTTGAATGTATGTGCAAAGCTGCACTTGTGTGAGGAGTGTGCAAGTGCGCGCAACTCCACTTGCGTGAATGGAGCTACGCACGGGCTTGCCCACTGCTTGTATGGAGCATCCCATCTCCCAACCCCTACCCCACCTCGCCAGTCCGCAAAGCCAGAAAGCTTGGAGACTGCTGTGCTAGAACATGGAGCTTTTTATCCAGACTGGGTTTTCTTTAGAACTCACTAGGAAGTTGTAATTCAGCAGAGGGGGTCCCATCCTACCTACAAGAACGGAACTGGATACATTAATGTCTATTCTTTCCATTTTTATCTGTTCTAGGAAGATCAGTGCCATCAAATCACCAAAAGGATGCAATAAATTGTCCACCTGTTACATGTCCACCTGATTGGATTGGACATCAGGGACACTGCTACAAATTTTCAGTAGAGGAAAAGACCTGGAATGAGAGCCAGAACTTCTGTATTTTGCACAATGCTTCCCTGGCCAAAATTACAAAGGAGGAAATGGTGAGTAATGTAATTGGTTTTGGCTACCATAAATTATTTCCTTGAAATAATGTTGTTTCATTGATGGTGCATAGAACTTCTACAACAGGGGTGTCAAACTCAAGGCCTGTGGGGTGCTTAGATCTGGCCCGTGGGGCCGCCCTGGAAACAGCAAAGGACCAGCCCACAGTGCCTCTGCCAGCGAAAGCTGGGCTCACGAGGGCAGCACGTGGCCCTCCCAAGCTCCATTTGTGCTGGCAGAGGGTTGCAGAAGGCCGTCCCAGCCGAAAATGGAGCTTGTGAGCCTGTTTTCATTGGCAGAGCACTCCGGGCATCACAGGTGCCCCCGACACAAGTGACGTCAAGCTGCCCCCCCTCCCCCAAGGTCAAACACAACCCTGATGCAGCCCTCAATGAAATCGAGTTTGACACCCTTGTGAATCTACAAGATGGAAAAGTTAAGTGACTTCCTCCTGATATCATTAGAATGAAAATAAAAATATCTTCCTTAGGTGCCTTTCTGTCCAAAGGCTTTAAACCTCCACCTTCCAAAGAATGCCAGTTTCACAAAGCTTGCTTTGTGAAAATTTAAAAAAATCAAGAAGATCACTCTAAACTTCATGGAAATAAGTCAATGCCATCTGTTTCTTTCTGATAAGAATTCTCTAATGCTTCACAATGTGAACTCCAGAGGCAGACTATAGAATTATGAAGCCAACAGTAAAAACAGGAGATGTGTAGACGTAGTCATTGTCAAGATTCATTCTGGGAAGATTTTACCTTTTACAAAATGTTTAAAAATTGCTTCAAAAAAAAGGGTTAAGAAGATGTAGGCCTCCCATTTTGCCCTTCCCTACAGGAACATCTAGCTATGTTTTACTGTATTTTCCGGCATATAAGACTACTTTTTAACACATGAAAATCTTCTCAAAAGTCGGGGGTCGTTTTATACGCCGGGTGTCGTTCTCCTGTAACCAGGCAGACCAGCCCAAAAGACTCTGACGAGCCTTAAATGGCTCTGGCGATCGAAGCTCTGACGATCCCAGCTTTGCCTGCTAATCAGGCAACTCAGCTGGGATGCCAGAGCCATGTAAAAGGAAAAAAGTTTTCCCCCTCCAGCTTGCTTACCTTAGCTGCTAATCGCAACGCTTGCCTTGCTTCGCTTGCCTGAATCCATTCCATCAGCAAGCCACTCCCTGCCTGCAATCATGCAGGCAGGAGTTGTGGACTTCAACTCCCAGAATTCCTCAGCCAGCAAAACAAAGCTGGCTGAGGAATTCTGGGAATTGAAGTCTACAAGTCTTAAAGTTGCCAAGGTTGGAGACCCCTGTTCTATTGGGTAAGTTTTTTTCCCCTTTGGGAGCTTTAAAAAAAATAGTTAATTGGGGTTTTTTTTAGTTGTTCTTTTTTAGACCTAGCCATTTAAAGTTTAGGAAGTTTTAAATTTAGTTTTCACATAAAAATAAAAATAAAATAATATTTGTGCAGCTTTCTGAGATTTAGTGTGTTTCTGTAGTGTTTCATTCTAACTACACAAACACACAAAATCTCACAAAGCTGTATGTGGAATTTTGTGTGTGTAAAGTGTGAAAGTTGATTTTTTGGGCTTTTTGTGGCTGTGTGAGGTTCCTGCTTGTTGCAGGGGCCATTTTGGGTCTAGCACAGCTGCTTTTACATTGTGGATGAGCCAGTTGATGTTTTTTAATTTTTATTTGGTGTGCGTTGGAAGAGGGGCAGTCTTATACGGCGAGTATAGCCCAAACCCTATATTTTAACAGGAAAAGTCGGGGGTCGTCTTATACGCCCAGTCGTCTTATACGCCGGAAAATACGGTATTAAGATTAGATTACTGTTCAAAAGATATGCAAGGTTCTAACATGCATAACTTTTGCTTTTAAAGGATTTTGTGACGATGCTCACAAGAAACCAGGTCTTTTGGATCGGACTCAAGGGAGAACCAGATCAACCCTGGAAGTGGCTAGATGGAGAACATTCAACGTGAGTCTTCCTCTTTTCCTTCCAATTGGCAAGAGTGGAAAGTAAAATGCCTCGGTTGAGGCTGTGTGCAGCTCAGGACTGATCTTAGAAAGACCCTTCTGGCTTCCAGCATTCAGGAGCTGCCGTCTAAAAAGATTTGGCCCTACTAATGTAACTCAAAAATGTATTACGGGTAATCCTCGACTTACAGCCATTCATTTAGTGACCGTTCAAACTTACATCAGAAGTGAAATAATTGACTTATCGGCCCTTGCAAATACAGCCATCATAGCTGCCCCATGATCAAACTTTGTATTGCCATGTATTTATTCGTTATTTTTATTTATTTACCAATTTATTTATTTGGAAAATTGATATGGCTGCCCAACTCATAGTGACACTGGGCTGCTTAGAGACGTAAAACCCCTAAACAAATACAAAACCCAATAAACCCCCAACACAAAGCGACAGCAATCAAACCAACCAGTTGATGGGCTCCACATCACCCTGGAGTCCCCAGGTCTCCTGGCAAAACCGTTAACAGATGTTGCAGCATCCTGGGGTCACGTGATCACTGTTTGCGACCTTCCCGGCAGGTTTCCAACAAGCCAAGTCGATGCAGGAATCCGGATTCCACCACGTGATTTATTTAACAACCGCAGTGATCCGCTTGTGGCAAAAAAGGTCATAAAATCAGGAGCAACGCGCTTAACAATTGCCTTGCTTAGCAATGGAAATTCTAGTCACAATTGTGGTTGTAAGTTGAGGACTACCTGTGTAAATACCATGTTCAGAATTCCACTTAGAGTCCAGAATGCTGAGCTCATTGGAATAACAGAGTTGGAAGGGACCTTGGAGGTCTTCTAGTCCAACCCCTTGCTCAAGCAGGAGACTCTATAATATTTCAGACAAATGGTGGTCCAGTCTCTTCTTAAAAACCTCCAGTGTTGGATCATTTACAACTTCTGGAGGGAAGTTGTTCCATTGATTAATCATTCTAACTGTCAGGAAATTTCTCCTTAGTTCTAGGTTGCTTCTCTTCTTAATTAATTTCCACCCATTGCTTCTTTGTCCTGCCCTCAGGTGCATTGGAGAATAGCTTGACTCCATCTTCTTTGTGGCAGCCCCTGAGATATTGGAAGAATTCTATCATGTCACTCCTAGTCCTTCTTTTCATTAAATTAGACATATCCAATTCCCACAACCGTTCTTCATATGTTTTAGCCTCCAGTCCCCTAATCATCTAAAACACAGATATACTGTACAATTAACACCTCCCAATAGATGAATTCATGAATTCTCATATTTGTGAATGCAAGGCTCAGCTAGATAAGTGGTCCACACACTGTGGGTCACAGGCCAGTACCGGCCCATGGCCAAATCGCCACTGGGCCAAGTGAGTAGGTGGCCAGGACGCGTACATCTATGTGCGTGCTCGGGAACACTAATATGAGTGTTGTCAGCAGTCGCAGCCCCACTTGGGGCAACAACAAGGCAATGACGCTTGCATGAAGGGGGCCACAAGCGCCTGCAACGAGGCTTTTATTGTGGGTGCTTGTGGCCCCACTTGTGTAAGCGTCATTGCAGGTGGTCATGGCTCCACTCATGCAAGCCTCTTTATGGGTGCTTGCTGCCCCACTTGTGCGACTGTTGCTGCAAATGTTGTGGGTGCATACGTACACATGTACACATCCATCTGCCTCTCCCACAAAATTATCCCCTTTCCCTCCCCTTAACCCTCTCTGGGCCCCCAACCTGGAAAGGTAGGGGAACTCTCAGCTACATGAACTGTAAACTCGGGACCCCTTTGGTACTTCCATGTGGGAAATACTCCCCACTGCCTAATTTCCGCTTTTACTGTATTACAGGTTGAAAGTCATGGGAAACGGAGGGGACTGTGCGTTTTTGAACGATGATGCTACAGCCAGCTCTGGGAGATGCAGCACTGAACACCGCTACATTTGCAAAAAAAATGATCCTAAGAGATCCTGAAAGAGAATCCTATCTCCCCTCCCCCCCCCAGAGTTCACTGGTATTCTATAGACGCTGAACATTCCTGATTGCTAATAGGATGTTTTGGTCCTTCTGGATGACTTCCTGTACTGTATAGTGACCATGCGGAAAAAGCACCGGTGTTGTTTCGAGGAGTTTATGACCTACTTTGATTTCTCTTTCATATTAAGAAAAGTCTAGAAGTTCAGAGCTCATTCTGAGCTAGCCTGCTTGTTTTTCACTCTTGCAGGCTGAACAAAGGAGAAGAGACAAGGGGGAGAGATCTTCAGTTAAATTTCAGAACTGAGAAAGTCTGACTTTTTACTTCCTTCTGGACTCGTGTGCCAGCCAATTAAGATCAGGTCTTGCTGTCTCCTGATCATAGCAGGGCCATGAAGTCATAGTGCCAAGTTTGGGTCAAAACTTTAGAGTCGTGTTGCTTGTGGAGAGCTTCTAAACAGAACCTAGCATTAGTTAGCTGTTACTCTTGATGATCGATGAGGTGACTCATCTTGAAGAGAATGAGGCAGTCTCAGAGACTGCTTTACTGCTGCTGCTTATCTGTTGCTTTGCCTTTCAGTTTTTACCAGTAATCTCGCCCTCTGTTTTGCAACAAGAGTCCAGCATTGACTGCAGGGGCATTAGAAGAGAGAAAGAAGGAGTGGGGAGAGAGAAGGGAGGGGAAGCTGAGCCTAGAAGACAGAAAATTGAAGTTGGAGACACTTCTGCTTATGGTAGTAATAAGAAGGAATCAGGAAAAGTAAGATTACTGAGAGCAGGGGTGAAATTCAGCAGGTTCTGGAGAACTGGTAGCGGAAATTTTGAGTAGTTAGGAGAACCGGCAAATACCACCTCTGGCTGGCCCCAGAGTGGGGTGGGAATGGAGATTTTGCAATATCCTTCCCCCTGGAGTGGGGAGGGAATGGGGATTTTGCAGTATCCTTCCCCTGGAGTGGGGTGGGAATGGAGATTTTGCAGTATCCTTCCCCTGCCACGCCCACCAAGCCACACCCACCAAACCGCTTCTCAATCATTGAAGAAGCTTCTTCAGAGCTGAAGAAGCTTCTTGGATGACAAGCGAAACATCTTCCAAGATAACCAGACAGACCACTTGCCTCTTGAAAAAAAAGCACCTTTGGGACAATTGATCAAGTGGAGAAGAAAAAACCAAGTTGAGCTGTTAATATACTAATAAGGGAGTGAAGCCGAGGTACGAAGGCTTCACTCAGGTCCGCCATTACGGCAGGAAAAATAGTTAAATTTCATTGGTTGAGCCATCTGACAGCTCCCTATAAAAGGGTGAGCTGTCAGACAGGCAAGTTGCTGGGTTGTACCAATCTACTGAATAAAGAACTATTAGTTGAAGAATCAGCGTCCTGCCTCTTCTATCTGTCACCAATCTAACATGAGCCATATCTGGATCCTCCAACAGCCTTTCCCCTAAACATCCCCAGAGAGGCTCGTAGCAGAGAAACAGCCAGCATAAGAATGGCCATTGGGACCTCAAACCCAGTGGTGGGTTGCTCCTCGTTCGGCTCGGTTCGGGCGAGCCGGTTGTGGTGATGATGTGACATCAGCGAACCGGTTCTCTATGACTGTGAGCTGGGCCCTCCCCCACGTTATACCTACCTTTATTTGTCGTTTTTTAGCCCAGCTGATAGGTGCGGCAGAGTGGATTGCTGCACCTCAGCTGGGCAGAAATCTAATGCGCATGCGCGAAGAGAACTGGTAGTAACACCAGTTAGAACCCACCGTTGCTGGAGCCTCTCAAAATGTAATCTGTCCGTAAGCAGAGTACTAGGCACACAGCTTTAACTATGCTGATATCCCTATGGCAATATTTAGAAATTGGGATTCTGTATTGTTGACCTCCATCTCTTGGGGTGTGGTGGGGGGGGGGGGAGGAACTCCATTACTGTATAATAATTCCTTCACAACACAATTGTTTCTGGAGGCTGCAACATACCAGGTTATATTAAACATGATTGGAAAAATGCTTCCTGTGCCAAATAATACAATTACTGCTGCTTCCCCAGAGGGGAAAAAGGCAAAGACCCAGATTGAAGTTGGGGCTTCCCTCAAAACCCAAGGCAGATGGGGACAGACGTAGTGCCGCCTCAAAATTCAGGTTCCTGGTTAGGGAAGGAACTGTTCTAGCTATTTTTGTATAAATATTTTTATATTTTATATATTACATATAAAACATATGCAGGTAGTCCTCGACCTACAACAGTTTGATTAATGACCATTCAAAATTACAAAGGCACTGAAAAAAGTGACTTAAGATCATTTTTCAAGATCAACGTATAACTAGAGCTCAATCCAAGCTACTTAAACAAAAGCAACAACAACAACAGGAAAGACAAGACAAGAAGGCAGTTAAGAGCACTGCACAAGAGATTGGCGCTATGGGAGGAGCGAGATCGAAGCTCTCGGATGAACTTCAAGCATATTGCTCTGCGCTCCAGAAAGAGGCTAATGACCTTTAAGTGTTTATCTTGGAATGTCAATGGGTTGAATTCAGCACAGAAAAGGAAAAAATTATTTACATATTTGAAACAATTTAATAATGATATAATATGTTTACAAGAAACGCATATTACAACTCAAGATCAAAAATATTTGATAAACTCAAAACTAGGAGTACATTATATATCTTCAACTTCGCAGAAAAAGAATGGTGTGGTTATTTATGTAAATAAAAAATTAACAGCAAAAGTTATAGAAGTAGATCAAGATGGTAGATTTGTAGCAATTGAATTGTTTACAGCAAATGGGCAAATTCTTTTGATTGGAATTTATGCTCCCAACCAACAACAGGATTATTTTTACAAGATGTTACATACTAAAATATTGCAATGGGGCTACAGATCTATTTTAATTATGGGAGATTGGAATGGAGTAATTGATTCTAAATTAGATAAAAAGAGCTTGGCAAAGTCTAGAATTAGATTACCACAGACCTTTTTTGATATGAAAGAAGATATGGAACTAAAAGATGTTTGGAGAATACATAATCCAAATGAATTGGATTACACTTTTTTTTCTGATAGACATAGATCCTTTTCTAGGATTGATTTTATCTTGTTGTCAAATGATCTACTTGTTAAGACAAAAAGAACAAAGATTTTTCCAAGAACTTTGACTGATCATAGTCCTGTATGGATAGAAATCGAGATGGATAAGGTTGAGAGACGTTCTTGGAGATTAAATGAGAACTTGTTTAGATATGAAAAAAATATAATAGAACTTAAAAAGCATTTGAAAGAATTTTTTGAAATAAATTTGAATAAAGGTACCCCAGTTGAAATTGTTTGGGATGCAAGTAAAGCTTATATGAGAGGGGTACTTATCTACATGAATTCTAAACATAGACTGTTCCGACAAAAGAAAAGATCTGAGTTGGAAATGGAAATAAAGAATAAAGAACAGTTACTTATTAAAAACCCAACAGATGAAAGAATACGAAGTGCTATAAAACTTTTGAAAGACCAATTCCAAATGCTTATGTCGGAACAAGTTGCAACAAGCTTACAATACGCGAAGCATAATACATTTTGCAATGCTAATAAACCGGGCAGATGGTTGGCCTACACATTGAGGAAAAAACAAAGTATGCGGACTATTGACAGTATCGATATTGGAGGGAAAGAAATTTTTCAACAAAAATTAATTAAAGAAGCTTTTGTGGATTATTATACTAAACTATATGCTAAAGAAGAGGTGCAGAATGGACTTATAGAAAAATATTTAAAGGATAAGAGAGTTACAAAAATTACTGATCAACAAAAGGAAAGAATGAATTATCTTATAACAGAGGAGGAGATAATAGTAGCAATTAAACAGCTAAAAACAGCTAAAGCTCCTGGCACGGATGGTTTGACTGCAGTGTATTACAAAACTTTACAAGCTGAAATGGTGGGACAACTTAGAGATTTATTTTGCAATATTCAACAAGGGGGTAAAATACCCCCATCCTGGACAACTGCTTATATATCTTTGATACCAAAGGAACAAGTTGGTCCTAAAAAACCAGAGAACTACAGACCAATATCTCTTTTGAACACAGACTATAAAATTTATGCGAAGGTATTAGCCAACAGGTTGATGCCAGTAATCCAAAAGGTGATTCATGAGGACCAAGCGGGATTTATTGAGGGCAGATACATGAAGGACAATGTAAGGCAAGTAATAGACTTATTGGAATATCTTGATAAGAATAAACAGATTTCTGCAGTGCTGGTCTTTTTGGATGCGGAGAAGGCCTTTGATAGAGTGGATTGGAATTTTCTACTAAAGACTTTAAAAAAGATGGGCTTTGGGGACCAATTTACACAGGCGATCTCAGCAATTTATCAAGAGCAAAAAGCACAGATTATTATTAATGGAAGTTTGACGACAGAGTTTAAAATTGAAAAAGGAACAAGACAGGGATGTCCGTTGTCCCCACTTTTATTTATTTTAACATTGGAAGTCTTGCTAAATACAATACGGGACTCAAAAATTTTGAAAGGTATAATGATAAGGCAAGAGGATTATAGAATAAAGGCATTTGCAGATGATCTGGTGGTTACCCTATCACAACCAATGGAATCAACAATCCTGATGAATGACATTATACAAGATTATGGTAGAGTTTCAGGTTTTAGACTGAATTCAAAAAAGACTAAAATGATAGTCAAAAATATGACACAAGATCGTAAACATGAGCTTGAAAGGAGGGCAGGTTTTGAAATTGTACCTAAGGTAAAATATCTTGGAGTTCAGGTTGCAGAATCAAATATGAAATTGTTTCAAAATAATTATGAGGTGTTGTGGCGAGAGGTTCAGAAAGACATGGAGACTTGGAAAAAGCTGCAACTGTCTTTACTTGGAAGAATAGCAGCAGTTAAGATGAACATGTTGCCAAGATTTCTGTTTTTGTTTCAAATGATTCCGGTGCTTAAAAGTGATAAACAACTGAAAGTTTGGCAAACTGGACTTAATAAGTTCGTCTGGAACGAGAAAAAGCCGAGAGTGAAATTGAAAATTATGCAAGATGTTCCAGAAAGAGGAGGCCTTAAACTTCCAAACCTACAGTTATATTATGATGCAGCAGCTTTAACTTTAACAAGTGATTGGTTTGGGGGTAAAAAGGCTGGAATATTGAATGCAGAAAGTTTTGATCTTGAATTTGGATGGCATGCTTACTTATTTTATGATGACAAAGTTGATAAAGTATTTAAAAGTCATATACTTAGAGACTCTTTGATGAGAGTTTGGAAGAAGCACCGACTCAAATGGGATTATAAAATACCGCTATGGCTGGATCTTGGTCATACCTTGTGGAATACAAATATAATGTCACTCGGGGGGTTTTTATACAAAGAGGTTCTTTTTACAGATGCGGGCATATGGCAGTTGAAGACATTGCAGACACTGTTGGATGAAGGGATTAATTTAACCTGGTTACAATATAATCAATTACAATTGAGATGGAAAGAGGACCAAAAAACTGGTATTATGTTGCATGAGGAAGAATTGGTTAGACATATAAGAGAGAAAGGTCTAATGCATATTAAAAGGCTTTATAATGTTTTGCTAGAAAGGGATTCAGAAACGGAATTAGTTAAAGATTGCATGATTAAGTGGGCACAAAATTTTGAAGAACCAGTGATGTTGGAAACATGGGAAAAAATTTGGGTTCAGAATGTTAAATTTACACAGTCGCAGAATCTGAGGGAAAATTTTTATAAAATGTTTTATAGATGGCATTTAGATCCTAAAAAGTTGTCATGTATGTACCCTAATGTTCAGCCAAAATGTTGGAGATGTGAATGTTTGGATGCTACGTATTATCATGTTTGGTGGACCTGTAGGAAAGTTAAGGCTTTTTGGATAAAAATATGGTGGGTCATGCAGAATGTTTTGAAGAAAAAAATTCAATTTTCTCCACAATTGTTTTTATTGGGCATAGTTAAGGGTTTTACACGGGATGAAACAAAATTAATATTGTATATGATAACAGCAGCAAGATTGTTGATAGGTAAATATTGGAAGAATGAAGCTTTGCCTACTATCGAGGAATGGACTTCGAAGATGGCCAGTTTTGCAGAGATGGCGAAGATTTCAGCATATTTAAAAGATTGTTCACAAGAGACTTATGAATGGGAATGGAAAAGGTGGATAGAATATGTTCAGAACAAATACCAAATTAGAAAGTATCAAATAGCTTTTATTTGAAAACAATGTATTAGAAATATTTTAATATAAAGAGACAAAGAGGGAAAATTATATAGGGGGAGGGATGGGTTCAGGTATATATATCAGTGTTATTAGTTATGAGTACATAATAGGGAAGTCTGGGGGGGGGA